CTCCAGGCACACAGGCCCCGCCCTGCCGGCCTCCCCAAGCCCCTGCTCCGGCAGGCCTTCCCCGCATCACCAGCGTTTCTGGCCTTCCGTGGGCCACACGCATGAGCACGCTGCACACAGATGCACATACACGTGCACACGAGGCTGCTGCACAGGGGGGCAGATGCCCATGCGCCCGCGCACACACGCATGCACACGTGTGTTCGTCCCATCCTGCAGTCTGTAACCTGCCAGCTCCCCAACAGCTCTCCTGGGTCCCCATCCCCGCTCTCTCCAGAACCCTTTCCACGGAGGCACTTCCTGCCCCCCCCCGAGTTTTTGTAAAGGGCCCCGCAACCTACAAGTGGCTAAATCCTCTTGACTCTCTGATGGCCCTTGTCCCAGCTGACCCCTCCCTCCTCCTTGGGACACCTTGGCTGCTGGGAACCCAGTGCCTTTGGACTTCTGGGCCCTCTGCCAGGCCCTCGCTCCGCCCTCCCTCCCTGACGCCCAGTGCTCCAGGGCCTAGCTCCGGCCTCTGAGCCTTCGCTCTTGTCTCTTGGTGTCCTGCTTCCAGCCCACCTCCAATCTTCTCCCTATGAGACCCCGGGATGTTTCTCGCCAGCCCTGGCTTCTCCCCCACAGTGGCTGGGAGGCTGCTTCCCAAACGCCCCATCCTCGGCTCCTCCTCAGCCTTCCTGGTGCTCAGCCTCACCTGCAAGGCATTCTGGGCTGTTCTCTCCCGCGCACATCCACCCCAGGTGGTCCGTATCCACTCAGAATTCAACTGCTCGGCTCTGGCTTCCCCCATACCACGCCAGGGAAAACCTACGCCTCCCACGGCACTTCCCGGCTTCGGAACCTCCCAGGGGCCTGCAGGACCCCGCCCCCTTCCCCCTTCCCCCCATCTCTCTGACCTCACGGACCCCGCCTCCCTACCTGGGCACACACAGGTGTCTGTCCCGGTGGGACGAGCTCTCCCAGGAGAGGAGGGAGTGTGTCTTGGGTCAGGTGCCAGCAACAGCATACCAGGGTCAAAGGTCAAACCCACCCCCAGAAGGGCCTGCTCCTGAGCAGCTCTGCCCGCAGGGGCACCAGAGCCCGGGCAGGGTGGTCATGCCCCCAAGGCCTCCTTAGTCTCCCTGGGGGCTCTTTGCCCCCACCCTCCCTCCCTGAAGAAACCTGCACAGCGGACTCTGTACCAACCCCCGCCCCCCGACCTGGGCACGGTCCCCCCGCGGACCCCAGGGCAGTGTGGGCAGTGACGCGCACAGCAGCCCGGGGGGCCGCACACTGGCCAGGTGCAGGGGACAGCTTCCAGCAGCGGAGACTTCAGCAGAGACCATGCGTGGCCCAGGGCAGCATGGACCCCAGAGGATGAGGCCTACGAGTGACCTGGCAGGGGAGGGGAGACAAGCTGCTGAGAGGGAGGGCTGACTGGCACCAGGACAGAAACTGTGACAATGTCAGCGGCCACCGTGGGAAAGGCCCTGGGCATGGCAGGCACAGGGACCGTCAGATTTCTCCACGTGTTATCTCTTAAACTGGACCACAGGCTAACAAGCATTCTTCCTGAATTTGTTCCTGAGCACAACACAACTTGCTGACTTCCCAACCTGCTCTGTCTCCGCGTCCTCGGGGCAAACCCAAGCTCCCTGCCCTGTGTGATTTGCCCTGAATGACCTTTGCCACCTCCCATTGTCACAGACCTTTGGTCCAGCTGTGCCCCTCCCACGTCCCCGCCCCCGCCCCCCCCTTTCCTGCAGAATCCATGTCCAGGGCAGCCTTCCAAGCAGCAGAGGAACAGGGTTGGATTTGGCTCTCAAAAAGAGGCTTTTGGGAACCCCAGCAAGGAGGGCAAGGGCGGGGGGAGGCCGTCACGGGGTGGAGGGAGGCCTGTCCCAAGGTCAGCTCAGCTGCACACTCCAGCACCCACCGCGGATGCCCTTTCACCCGCAGCCGCGCGGGAGGTCTCCATTCCCAAGGTGGAGGAACAGAATGGCGCCAGGGGAGCCGGGCAGCTGCGGCCTTGAGCCACAGGTCGTTCACCTGAGCCACCACCTCCCTAGGTTATGTCCCCGGGCCTGGAGCTCCCAGAGGCCAAGCGTCAACCCCAGGGTCTCCACTCATCATAGTCAGGGACACCCAGGACAGGAAAGCCGCGAGGAACTGCAGGGAAACCGAAGCCTAGAGCGGGGAGGACACTGAAGCCGAGGACATGCAGAAGTGGAGCCCAAAGTGCTCCCCGCAGTCCCGAGCCTCGGCCTACAACCCGGTAAACCGGGCGGTTGTTGCGGGCCCTCGCGGTAGGGCAGGGGCGTACAAGGCCCCAGTGCACGGAGGTGAGGCCGAGCTTGGGGCGGGGCCGTCTGCCTGGGTCTCAGCGCGACCTCTGGTTTGCAGGTGCCTTGCCCGCACCTCGGACCCCTTGTGGGGAGGCCGGGGCCCACGCCCCACAAATGGCTGCTCCTCGTTTGGAGGCCACCTCCCCGAGCCCCGATTTCCTGGCAGGTGAGCTGGGGGTCATAATGCCCAGCACCCGTGTGACCTGTGAAAACGAAGTGCCGTGAGGCACGCGCAGCACAGAGGCTGGCACGCAGCAGGCGCTCCCCCATTACCCCAGTCGGGGCTCCTGTGCTCCCGCCCAGCCGGCAGGACACGGTCCGGGCCCTTAGGGGTCACGACTCCTGCATTTTGACCCCTCCGCACAGACGGTCTTCCCCAAGGTCACATACGGTCAGTGCAAGGGGGACCTGGAATGCGACTCGTGGAGTGACGAGGAGAATCCGGGTCGGCGGACCTGGGGAGCCTATGCGCGCGCCCAGACTCTCACCAAGAGGCGGCGCAGCAGGCGGGGGCCAGACGCGCTTTCCGGCCCGGGCAGCCGGCCGCCCGCCGCCCAGAGCTTGTCCTCGCCGCCGCCGGCGTTTCCAGAAGCCCCGCCCCCTCCCCGCCCCCCAGTGCGCCCTCAAGTTTCTCCGAACTTTTCCGCGGGTCCCGCTGGGCGCCCCGCCCTCCGCCCGGTGACGTAACAATGGTGCAGCACGGCAGCCAATGGGCGGCGGCGGGGGCCGGCAGCGCGGGCCAATGGCGGCGGCGGACGGTCCCGCGGTCCTGCCCGGCCGGGGCCGCACTGCGCCGCCCGCCGCCCGCCCGCCGCCGGCGCCCGCACCGCCGCCCAGCGATCGGCTCGCGGCGGTTCAGAGCTCGGCTGCGGCGGGCGCGGGCGGCGGCGGCTCCTTCCCGTCCGTCCGTCCTGGGACTTTCACCTCCGCGCCTACCCGCGGAGGGCCAGCGCGCGCTTCGGCCCGCAGCGGGGGCAGGGACGCCAGTACAGCGGCCCCACCGCCCCCCACGGTGAGTCCCCCTCACCTGGCTTGCAGCCCCCGTCCCGGGCACTCGCCCATGGCTGCCGCTTCCCTCACGCCTCTAGGGCACGGGCAGAAACACCCGCAGGTGCAACCCTCGCTGCGCTCGCTGCCGACCCGCAGACATCCTGGCCTCGCCCCCGGCGACCCGAGGTCCCCCGTGCCGCCGGGAGGGGATCGGGAGGAGCTGACGGGCTGCCCGGGACGCGCCACCCAGCCCTCGCCAGCCCAACCCCCCCAGCCACCGAGCCGCGGCCGTGACTCAGTGCCCAGTGACGTGGGGCGGCCCAACTTTACGTAACCCGCCCGGCGCCCCACGGTGTCCACACTGGGTACACCTGGGGCGCAGAGGCCCAGGCGTGGGGGGTTGCTCTAGTCATAGCACCCCCCAAAAGGGCGCTGTGGCTGCAGCCCACCCTCACCGCGCCCATCTCTGTAACTTAGGCATCCAGACCCTTTGTGTCCGAGGACTTTGCCTTGAGAGAAAGCAGAGGGTCCCTGGGGCCGGGGCTCAGGTTGAGGCCGCGGTCTCGGAGGGCAAGGTCTGGGTTCCCTGTGGGTTGGGACCCCCCCGCCCCGATGAGGGACCCCTCCCCCCACCCCCCGTGTGGAATGAGCCCCAATTGGGCAGCAGGAGACCGAGTTGTAGGCCTGGCTCCACCCTGACTTGCTGACTGATCTTGGACAAGCTTGTCCCTTGCTGGAAAGTGGGGTGACAGGGTTGCTTCGTCAGGTGTCGGGGAGGGTCAGGAGGGGTGGCCCACTCGGGATTTGCAGGCTGTGGGGAGCGGTGCTACCAGTATCTATGTTGATTTCGGTCGCCAGCCTCCTCCCAGGAGCCAGAGGGGGGTGGCCCTCATGTAAACATCCCGTTGGGTGGATGGCCAGAGTCCCATCTCCACCCCAAGGGCATCCTGCTGGGGCTCACAGCCTGCATCCCCTTCTTTTTTACAGATGAAGACGCTGAGGCCCGGAAAAGGATAGACTCCCATCTGCAGAACTAGGTGAGCTCCGTGCAGGAGCCAGCTGCGTGTGAGTGCAGAGCTCTGCCCCGGCCCTGCCTGGGGGGGAGACTCTAGGGGTCCCCACTTGTGGTCAGGGGTCAGAGGAGAGGGTCAAGGTGAGGGAGGGCTGGGACAGGTGTGTGTCCTACAGAAAGGACTGGGCTCAGCGCGAGATCTGGGTGCAGTGGTACGGCCCCTTCCTGCCCTTTTCTCTAGTTGGGGTTGGGTGCGCCCAGCCCAGGAGGGAGCAGGACCTTCCCCTGCGTCCCTGGGCTGGAGGGGTGGGGGCGGGGGTGACATTTCAGTGTGGTTCTGTTGGTGGGTGGGGTTGCGGGGGCTGAGTCGGGAAGGGCCTGTCCAGTGGAGACGTCAGAGAACAAGGGGAGGGCGTTTCCGGGGGGGTGGGGTGTCAGGTGCTGCTCGATCCCGGGTCGGGGAGGCGGCTCAGGGTCTGGGAGAGAAGGCAGCTGCGAGGAGTGACGGGGAAGCGCCCGTCCGAGGCTGGAGGTAGGTCCGTGGTCCCGGCCCTGTGGGGCCCTGGGAGGGGGGCCCAGGAATCCCCTCGCAGGCCCTCTGGTTTCCCGGGGAGAGCCCGGCGGTGGGGTCGGGTCCTCGACGCCTCACCGCGGCCCCCTCCGCCTGCAGGTGGTGGGCCGCAGCGCCCATGCCGTGAGGCCGGAGTCGCCCCTCCGCCAGCATGCCGTGGGACGCTCAGCGGCCTGGGGGCGGTGCGATCGGCGGGCCCGAAGGTGGCAGCGCGGCGCGCTCGCGGGCGCAGAAGCAGTGCCGGAAGTCCTCATTCGCCTTCTACCAAGCAGTGCGCGACCTGCTACCGGTGTGGCTGCTGGAGGACATGCGCGCCAGCGAGGCCTTCCACTGGGACGAGCGCGGGCGCGCCACTGCCTACTCGCCGTCAGAGGCGCTGCTCTACGCGCTCGTGCACGACCACCAGGCCTACGCGCACTACTTGCTGGCCACGTTCCCGCGGCGCGCGCTTGCGCCGCCCAGCGCCGGCTTCCGCTGCTGTGCGGCGCCTGGGCCGCACGTGGCGCTGGCCGTGCGCTACAACCGCGTGGGCATCCTGCGTCGCATCCTGCGCACCGTGCGTGACTTCCCCGCCGAAGAGCGCGCCCGCCTGCTCGACCGACGCGGCTGTGGCCGCGTGGAGGGTGGCGGCACGTCCCTGCACGTGGCCTGCGAGCTGGCGCGCCCTGAGTGCCTCTTCTTGCTGCTGGGCCACGGCGCCTCGCCTGCTCTGCGCGATGGTGGTGGCCTCACGCCGCTCGAGTTGCTGCTGCGCCGGCTGGACCTTGACTCCGGGGCCACTCCCGCCCCCGGGGCGCCCGCAATACCCGCAGAGCCGCGCCAGCGCCGCCTGCTGCTGCTTGACTTGCTGGTGCTGTACACGCCTGCGGGTGCTGCCGGCCCTACCCGCTGCGAGCTGCTGGGCGACCGGCCGCGCTGGCAGCGGCTGCTGGGCGAAGACAAGTTCCAGTGGCTGGCGGGCCTAACGCCGCCCTCGCTCTTCGTGCGCGCCATGCAGGTGCTGGTCGCCTCCATCTCGCCCTGCCGCTTCCCCGAGGCCCTGGACGAGCTGCCGCTGCCGCCCTTCCTGCAGCCTCTGGACCTCACGGGCAAGGGCTAGCCCACGGGGCGCCCGCGGCACTGGATTTTCGGAGAACGCTATTTTTCAGAGAGTTGTACCTAGCACTTTACATACACTGATCTCTGTACATTAGAATCTCTTTTTCATGTGTCGCATGCATGGGGGCAGGGCCAGGGCCAGGGCGGTCAGGTGGGCTCCAGGGGGGGGCGGGGTCTCTGGATCTGGCTGTGCTCAGCGCTCCACCTGGCCGCACTAAGCAGGGCTGAGGGATCCTGTGGCTCCCAAGAGCCAGGCCGTGACAGCTCACTGCCCACCTGGAGGAAGGTGAGGGCCAGCCTTCCGGAGGTGGCGGAGCAGGAGCGGGGCAGGCGCAGGGAGCGTGGGCTGATGTGCCTAGGCAGGGCCGACTGCAGTGCAGGGGCGAGGAGGCCGAGCGCGCGCCCTCCGTCTGGGGCGGCGGGGAGCGAGGAGGGAGGCCCCTGAGGCGGTCGGCATGTCAGGCCTTAACAACCGCTGTGGCCCCGGCTGGGCTTCCTCAGCTCCCGCCCTGGCGCCTGCTCTTCCTTGGGTGTCACCGTGGCTCCCTCCACCGAAGCTAGTCTAACCCAGGCCCGGCGTGTCCCTGTCGCCCCTTGTGCTGTCCCCCGAGAATGAGCGGGCGCCTCGCCCAGGGACTCCTGGCCCCAGCCGTACCGCCTCCCGGTGGGGTTAGATGTGCCCTAGGCGCGCCCCAGCACGCCCTGACCAGCGCCCCGCGGGGGTCGGGCGGTGCCTGTGGGCAGTGGGGGCGCCTTTTGGCCCCGTGGGAAGCCCAGCCAGCAGAGCAGGTTTCTGCAGGGAGGCGCTGAGCATGGAGACTTGCTGGCAGACACGTCATGACCCTTTGGGATAAAGCAATCCTGGCCCAAGAGCGGGGTCCATGCCCGGAGCAGCCCTGGGGCCAGGGACAGCAGCCAGGCTGCGCTGCCCGCGAGCTCTGCTGGGCTGTGAAATCCAACCCATGACCACACGGGCAGGAAGACCATGGTGTCCTGCCAGGGGCAGGGAAGCTGAAGGTCTGCGTGACGCAGAGTGGCCAGCCTGGCCAGGGGCAGCCACTGCCCACCTGCCCCCGGTGTCCCTGTGGGAAACATGCCTGGGAGCCAGAGGGGCTCCGGGTGGTGGCCCATAGGCAGGCGGGTACAGGGGCCCTGGGTAGCAGGAAGGTCTTACCTGGGGGGGGGGGCTGGTTCTGGCCTGCACCTGCCACCCCCTCTCAGGGTGACGTGGGACAAACCCCTACCTGCGGCTTCTCTGTCCCCACGTTTTTAAAGGGTTTCTGACCCTCTCCAAACTCCCTGCCTGCCCTGAAGTGAATGTGGTCCCGGTTCCTGGGAAGTGTTGGGGTGGCAGGAGCCCAGCCCAGTGGCTGATCCCAGATTCCCCAAGGGAGTGAGGGCTCCTCCCCTCCTGCTGCGTGACCTGGGCCAGTTAAATAGCTTCCTTGAACCTTGACACTTGGGGGGAGCAGATACACACATGTCCAGCTCAAAACTCAGGGCACCGGGAGCCACTGGGTCTTCTAGGCGCTGCCGGGTGCCCTTTTGGGTGAGGGCACCTTTGCTTTGGAGGAGGCGGAAAGCACCCCGAGCCTCCGGTCACGGTGGCCCCGGGGGCCGGGCCTGGGGAGGCGCAGGGGACCTGGGGGAGGGCCAGGGTCTGCGGGCGTGTCTTCTCATGTCTCCCCGCCCCAGCTCTGTCCTGTGATCCTGTGAGGTGGGCCCAGGGCGCCTCTGGCGACAGCCTCCCTTGAGCTCCCTGGGCTGGGGACTCTGATGGTGGGGTGAGGGAGCTGCCCTGCCTAGAAGGGCGACACCACACCTGTCAGGCAAGCGGGAGGTGGCCCCTGGGCTGGTCCCGGCAAGAGGAGTCGCAGCGCCGCAGAAGGGAAGGTCAGGGCCCAAGTGGGGTGGTTTGGACGGGGGGTGGGCAGGGGTCTGCGCCGTCATTCACTGGGTGACCTGGGCCCAGCTGAGGACCCCTTGGAGGCGTGGGAGGGCAGGAGGCTGGCAGCTGGGACTTTGGCCCCTGGTGCTCCCCCTCTGGGTGGGTGGGCCAGGGTGGGGGAGGCGAAGGGAGTTTGGGCTACTAAGAGCTGCGGGAAGGCCAGGGAGATGAGGCCAGGCCAGCGTCACAGCCTCGTGACAGCCGAGCAGGGCCGGATTCCTGGCGTGGCTCCTGCAGAGTCTCACTGGAGACTGACGCCCAGCTCGGCGAGGAAGGCGCAGGGTGGATAAGGGTTATCTGGTGGCCACGGCTGGGGCGGGGCGGGGCCCCTGCGTTGGGCTCTTCAGACTCGTGGGCCCTCCAGCCCCAGGTCAGCAAACGTGGCCACCAAACAGCCGCGTCACCATGATCGCCCTGGCGATGAGCAGGGAGGGCTGGGGACACTGGAGCCGGCCAGGCACAGCCCAGGGCGCCCTTGGCAGACACCAGCCCAGCCTTGGCCACCAGCAGGAGGTCTCGATGGCTTCTCACAGGCCCCGCCCACAGCAGGCCCACTTTCCTCTGTGGCGAAACGCCCTGGTTTGTCTGCTCAGTGTGTTGAATCCTCCAGTCTTTCAGAGGAAAACCCGGCTGGGGCTGATACTGGTCCCCCTTCCCCCCCGGGGGCCCCTGAGCCCAGCCTATTAGGCTCAGGCCAGAGAATCTGTACTCTAGAGGCCTACTGGTACTGTGACCTCATACCCAGAGCTCAGGAGGGACAGCACAGGACATCGTGTGCTGCAGGGGAGACCTGGGGGTGGGTGGCGGGGAGGGCAGGGGAGCGAGGCCCCTGGCCGCCCCTCCTCCGGCCCTGGTGAGGACCAAGCCCGGCCCCCTGCGTGGCCCTTGCAAGCTGGCCCCATTCTCAGGTTACCTCGATCCCCCGCCCCCCCCCCCCCCCCCGTTTTATTAGTCCGCTTTCCAGTCCTGTACTGAGAGCAGTTTCCTCGGCTGCCCCAAGCCGTGTGCAGAACAAGGATGCTTCCTGGGGGTTGGGAAGAGGAGACAGCATTGGGCCTGTTTCAGGGGAGGGGGCTGGTGGCAGAGCCCAACCCGTGGTGACTGGGGGTGGCTGCATTTGAAAATGGAGGCGCAGCAGGCGGGATAAACGCACAGACATTGCCCGCGGTTACACCCAATGTTGCGCTGGTGGCTACTCTCGTGTAAAGACAGCGGTGCAGGTGGAGATTCCTGCCTTCACGGGTTTTCACGGAGAACCCCAGCGTGTAGGGCTCGTGCCCAGGGCGCAGCCTCGGACTGTGGGAAGCCCGGTGGGCTGTGTGCGGCCGGGCCCAGCCCGGGAGCGCCGACGGCCAGAGCTGGCTGCCCGCCCTCGCCCCGCCACCCCGACATGCTGTGGGCATTTTGTTGCATTTTGTTTTTTCTATGTGCATGTATATAATACATATATTTTTCCTGTGCATGTTTTTTACGTACATGATATTAGGTCAGTACACAACTCTTTTTAAACTTACTGTGGTATAAGCATTGCTCTGTATTGTAAAACACGCTGTGAATGTGATTTCTAAGAAGTCTTTGGTGATTATTTTGTGATATTTGACACAGCTAGTGTGGATACCACAGAGTCAATGTTAGAGAGGACAGAGCTCTTAAAATGCAAATTTTATTTTTGGAATAAATAATACATTTACATGGCTCAAAATTCAAAAGGTACAAAAAGGTATGTACTTCAGGGAACCAGTGTGACCAGCTGCTGTGTGGCAAGCTCGCTTCCTTCTGCGCCTCCTGCGCCCCTGGGACCGTGCCCAGCCGCCCCTGCCAGTAAGAGGATGGGAGGATTGGTGGGGGGGCACCTGCAGCCTCCCCTCCCGCCCCTTTCACTCATACAACCGCCTGCCTCCAGCACCACATCATCACGGCCACACCCGAGAGCTCCCTCCTTCTGTCCTCGAGGCGGCAGACGGTCGCCTGGCCTCTGTCCCGGAGCCCAGCACGGCGGGTTCACGAGGGGCATGCGCCCCACAGCAGTATCTTGCAATTAGGGAAAAGGCCGTGTGGAACGTCTTTCCCGGTTCAGGACTTGTTCTGAGGACAGGCGGCCGGGGTTGGAGTGCGCGGGTTTGAAGGCATCGAGGCCGCTGCTGGACAGCCAGGGGCTCCCCAGCCCGGTGCCCGCCGCCCGCCCGCGGCTGAGGCTCTCCTCCTGGTGCGAGCCGGTGCTTTGGGCGCATGTGCAGCATCGAGTCCCGTTTCTCGCAGGTATTTCCCCTTTTAGCTCTTTGTGTGGTTTTTAATGTACAGCATTTCTACACTTCAAACAAATCAAATCTGTCTTCCTCTGGCTTTTCTCACCACCTTCGGTTTAGAGAGCCCTCGTCATCCAGAAATCAGCTACTGTTCCCCCCCTGGTTTTAAGGTCCTTTAATCTATTTAATGGTTATCTTGTGCAAATACCTGAGCTGTGGACACAGGGGCTGTAAAGTCCGCTCCTGTCCCCTCATCTCCAACGCCACCACACCGGCCTCTGGCGTCACCCCCCGCCCAGGACCGCGAGGATGCTGCACGGCACGGTCTCCAGCCCCAGGTCTCCCTGTGTCCCCTTGAGCAGATTCTGGACCCCCCCCACCCCACGTCTCTCCGGGACAAGGGGTGCGCCTGGGGCCCTAGTGCGGACGGAGGCTGTGGGCCTGGAGCACTGCCCGCACCGCCCGGGGCGTCTGGGGGCCAGCGCTGTGTTTAGGGGCCCTGCCTGCCTGCCCCCGACAGAACCGCCCCAGCGGGGCTCTGACTGAGACCCGCAAGTCCCTTGGGAAGGGCTGGTGTCCTCCATCAGGGATGTCCAACCTCTTTCCTGGATTTAGGTTTTCTTGGATGTCTTCTGGAAAGCTTGGTCTTTAAAAAAAATTTGTTTTCAGAAAAATTGAGAGAGAGAACCAGCAATTTGTTGTCCCCTTCCTGATGCGTTCACGGGCTGACTCCTGCAGGTGCCCCGACCGAGGGTCGACTGGCAGCCTTGGTGCCTCGGGACGGCGCTCTAACCAGCTGAGCCATGGTCTAACCAGGACCTGACCCAGGTGTGGCATTTCTTATTCAGCTGTCCTTGGGAACAGCTGTCCTGCCGTTAGGGATGTGATCTCTTTCCCCGTGTTGGGTTCCGGAGGGCACACCTGACATCTGCTTTTGTTTCTTGGAGGGAGACTTCGCCCCAGGGGCTTGAACCCTTGAACACCTGTCAGCAGCAGCCCGGCCTCAGGGGGCCCGGGGAGGAAATAGCCCGGCGGCCGCCTCAGGAGTGACCAGGGTGGATGTTTGCTTCCGGGGTGACCCCGCCCACAGGCCTGCCACCTTGGTCTGGCGGGTGCACATGTAAACGTGGAGCAGGTCGCGGGATCACACGCGCCGTGCTCCCTGGCTGCTGGTCTGGTTGGCAGGCCCTTCCCGGGCAGGCGGGAACAGCCTCCAGCGTGGAGGGCGCCGGTCGGGGTGCAGCCACAAGCCTCGACCAGGCCCGCAGCTCATCGCACCGTCTCAAAGCACAGCAGAGAACGAAAACCAGGGAGAACACTGCACGAAGGCCTGGTGCTGGCGGTGGTCCCACCGCATCTGGCTCGCCTGGGGTCAGCGGAACGGAGCCCCGGCGCGTCTGGGAGGCTGTGCGCCAAGGGACAGGAGAGGCACGCCGTTCGCCGCAGCTGCCCAGTGGCCTCTGCCGCCCCCGAACCGGAACAGAGGTTCCTGCCAAAGTGAAGCGTGCTGTCAAGTCTGGGATCAGCGTCTTGTCCTCACTGAGACCTGGAGGCCCCCCGTCTTCGCAGCTGGCTGGTCCCCCTAGTCGCTCTGCGCCTGTGACCCGCTCGCCGAGGAGCGGCCGGCCTCGGGGGTGGGCCCAGCCTGGGGCCGGCTGAAGCCAGGGCCAGGGCCTACAGCGCGTCTGCGTCCAGGAGGGGCGGGGGGCTCCAGGCGGGTGCGGCGGGGTTGCCAAGGCCTGCTGCTCGGATACCTGCGCGCTGGCAGGCGCTGCCTGCCGGCCCAGGGGCAGGGGTCAGGCCTGGTGCAGTGGGCGCAGCTTCAGGCTCGGGGCGGGGGGGTGGTTAACCCAGGTGCCCACTGGCAAAGCCGGGCTGCCCTGGGAGCCAGCGGCGGGTCCCGTGGCTGCCCCACACGTGGAGAACACGTGGGTGACCCCCCGTCCCCGGAAGCTGCAGCCGAGGACCATGCAGGCTCAGGATAAACCACTGCTGCTGAATGTGTAACATTTGACTTCAGATGAGGTATCTTACGCAGGTTTGTAACACACTAGGAAACAAAGGCGGTAATTAGGAGATTCACCCTCTGAGGACGCCTCTGGTCTCTACAACGCCCACTGGTCACATGCCACTCTAGGCATGTCTTGGTCACCTAGCACAGCCACACGCCCCTACGTCTGGCTTCCCGTGCCGTCTGCGCTGTGGGGCGGGGGGGGGCGGGGGGGGAGGCGGGGCGGGGGGAACGCGGCCGCACGCCCAGGACCGTCCCGCCCACGGGCCGGAGCGCTGTGGCTGAGGGGCGCTCTCCAGCGGCGAGCGTGCCTGGCCTGGGCGTGCCGCAGCGTGTGTGGCGTGGTTCCCTTCCGGCACGCGCAGCACCCACCTCTCACCCATGGCCTGGGGGCCCTGGGTGTCTGGCATGGAATGTGTGCCGGCACCTGTGTCTCTCAGAGGCGGCAGCGGGCCACCACGGGGACAGTCGGTGGTGGGAGAGCACGGGCGGCCCCCCGTGCCGTCCCGGGGGACCAGGCGCGGTCAGTGCCGAGAGCTGAGGACGAGACTGCAACACACAAGCCGCTGCGGCGCGCACACCTGGCGGCAGCCACTGTCCCCGCACGGAGATAGCCGCCCGGGCCCAGAGGTGCTGCCACCTCAGCGATGGCTGCGGCCGATTGGCTGAGGCTGTGGGTTCCAGGACAAGGTGGAAGCAAACATGGATGAAAGCAAGTGTGGGCGTCCGCCGTGGCCGGGCATGTCTGGGCCGCAGTCGGTGAGGCGTGTCCGAGAGCGAGCTGCTCAGAAACCGTCGGTCCGCCGCTCGCCTCCGCTTCCTCCGTCCTGAGCGGCTGCGCGGCTGCAGCGGCTTCAGATGACCTCCCACTCGTCCTCCAGGTCCTCAGGGTGGGCGGCGGTAGCCTGGCTGCTCTGGGCACCGTGCGAGTGGCTGAAAGTCTTCGTCAGCCGCTGGAGGAGGCAGCCAGGGGGGCCCACGGCCCACAGCTCGTCTGAGGAGGTCGCTGCAGGGACAGGAGTGGTCACGCACGCATCAGTCGCCCGCCCGGGGCAGGGGTGGGGGGTGCGGCGCCGGGCGGGGGGCGGGAGGCACAAGCAGAGCCGGCCCACATCCAGGTGTGGCGCTTTCCAGCTGCGGGGCCTGGGCACGGCGCCCCGAGCTGCGCCTGAGCTTCCTCAGCATTAAAGCGGCCCTATCCACTCCCTGGGAGACTCCAGCAGCCTGGGTGCCCAGTCCCTCCCTCAGGGTGGCCCCCTGCAGGGGGCCTGCGTCCCGTGGGAGCCGCCTGGGACAGCCCGCTGACAGGGCCCCAGGAGCCAGAGAACCCCGCGCCCTGCAGCCCCGGCACCTGCCTGCGAGGCACGTTGCGCTCCCAGGGACTTTCTTCCAGTAGTCTCCGGCGGGGTTTTTGTCGGTGACGCCATAGCGCCGGGCGAGGTCGCCGTTGGGGCAGCGGGCCCACACGGTCCGGGTGCTGAGCGCCAGCTGGCAGGCCTGCAACCCTTCGGGCAAACAGGGCTGGCTATAGGGGAGCCCGGCTGCAGCGGGATGGAGCGCCCCTTCCCCGGGCCTGCGCTCTCCCGACTGCACTGCCAAGCAGCGTGCTGAGGTGACAGAGCCCCCACCGGGCCGGGCCTGGGGGGCGCGGGGACAGGGTGCCCACCAGCAGGGCAGGCACAGCCGCCGAGGGCCCGGGGCTAAGGGACGGGGGTCCAGGCTGCATACCCAGGGCCACCGTTCTACTGGTGGCCCTTTTAACCATGAGTGACACAGCGGCCTCACAGGAAGGGGGTGGGGGGTGAGAAAAGCCCACGCCGCCCTGGCCGCTCCGCCTGGCAGACAAGGGCCCCGGGTCGCCTGTGTGGGACGGTGCCGCGCGCTTGCCCACCCTACCTGGCACGTGCTCCCACTCGGTCCCCACTGGCATCTCCTCGGTGATCCCCAGGCGGACGTGCACGTTGTACCTGCTGTCCAGCGCCCACAGCATCTGGTCGTTGGGGCTGCAGTGGACGCTGACCAAGGCGAGCCCGGCAGGCTGGAAGCAGGAAGGCAAGGAGGAACGGGTGGGTTGTGTCGGGCAGAGCAAGGCCAGGAGGTGTGGAGAACCGAGGGCAGTGGCCGTGGGTCGGGAGGGTCCAGAAACTTTGCTGACTGCTGCTGCCTGGCTGCCAGCCCCCCCAACAGATAATGAGCCTCTGCCCTGCGCAAGGTGTTCTGCCAGGAGCTAGCAGTCCATCTCCTTGACTCCTGGGTTTTAAAGTCTGGTGTGAGGCCATTTGTCAACCAATCACACAAAGAAGTACAGGGCCGCCATAGGCGAGACCCAGAGGACGAGGTGCCCGGAGCACCCAACCGCAGCGTCGGAGCCAGAGGCCAGGGAAGCTGCCTGGGCCCCGACAGCTGCTCTGAGAACAGGAATGTCCAGTAGAGGAGAGTGGGGAGAGCACCAGGGCCAGGCCAGGCTGGGCCGCGCCGGACGCGACAGCCACTCCAGAGGCTGCACCAGGCCCGCGGCACCCAGGGTCCGTGGCTGGCGGTCGTCAGCGAGGGGCCTGGAGACGCGTCCGGGGGCAGAGGCAGGTGATACAGGAAAGACCCGGCTGTGAGACACAAGGGTCCCACAGATGTTGCTGAGCCTCTGCCGCCCTCCCTGAACCCTGACACGGCCCAAGAAATGTCTCCTCACAAACGTCAACTGGCACAAGTCCCAGTGACCTCATCCCAGGGGTCAAGCAGAGCCACATGGGGGTGAACAGTCAGTGGTCCACGCAGGCTGCTCCCCCTTCCAACCCAGGATGCTCGCGCTCGCCGGGCCCAGGGGCTCTCGGATCTCGGTGTCCCGGGCTCACGTAGGGCTGTGCGAAGGGCACATCCCCGGGCGGGGTGGGGCCGGCCCTTCTGCACCCGGCTGTGGGCTCGGGGCCCAGCACCGACCCTTCAGACCAGCCCCTCGGCGGCTCTCGGTCAGGCGGGCTGCCTCCTGAGGAGCTACGCTCGGCCCTCGGTGAAGAGGCGGGCCGGCGGGCCCCCACATGGCGGCCTCCAGGCACCAGAGCTGCCTCCGAGGTCGCTGCTGGCCTGACACTCGCGTGGGACGGCAAGGGGTCCTGAGTCCCAACACAGTCTTGAGAGAGGACCAGTTTGGAAGACGCGCACTTCCTGATTTCAAAACTATTGTGAAGCCATGGCAATCAACTAGTGTGGCTCTGGACCAAGGACTGGCGTGTAAGTCAAGTGACTAGGACTGAGGGTCCGTAAACAGATCCATCCAGAGAAGCGGTTTTTGACAAGATTGCTGAGACCGGTCAGTGAGAAGACAACAGCCTTCTCAACAAATGGCACTGGGATAACTGGACATTCACATGCAAAAAATGAGACTGGACCCCTCCCTCACGCCATATACAAGTTACCTTGGAATGGATCAGAAAGCAGCGCAGAGCTAAGCCTGCTAAGGGTTCCTTAGATGTGACACCAGCGGCAGAAGAACAGAGAGAACAAGGTGCACTGGACTTCATCAAGACAAGTGACTTTTGTACCCAGAAGGTCGCTATAAAGAAAGTGCAGAGAACCCACAGAATGGGAGAAAACATCTCCAAATCCTGCATCTAATGAGTCTGGTGTCCCGAGTAAGTTAGGAACTTTTAAAATCCAACAATAAAAACACAAACAACTGAAGTTTTAAAAGAACAAATAGCTTGAAGAGACATTCCTCCCAAGGTACGCAGACGCCGACAAGCACGGGGTAAGGGGCTCCGCTCCGCTCCTCGCCGTCAGGAAACGCAAAGGAAACCTGCAGCATCACGCCGCTGGGAAGAGAGTCCGTCACGGGGGCACGTGGGGAACCAGGACCCCCAGGCGCTGCCATGGTGAATGCAAAGCGGGCAGCCGTGGAGCAGAGCTCGCAGGCCCCCGCGAGGGGAGACGCGGAGGCACCGCCGGCCCGGCTGTCCCTCTCCAGGGCGTGCAGCAGAGGCACTGGACCGGCATCCCAACCAGAGCCGCTCGACGGCACAGCGGTGGCGCCCTTCACAGCAGCCAGAGCGCGGCAGCGCCACGGCCGCCGGCTGCTGCGGGGGCGCCGCACTGTGGCCTGTCGCTGTGCAGGGCCGCCTCGCAGAGGCCCCAGGCCCACCCCAGGCCTCTGCCACCGAGCAGCTGGGGCAGAAAAGGGAGTCACACGGACGCTCTGGTTTCCCGGTGCACGTACAGGCTACGTTTACACTTCACTGTGGTCTCTCAAGTGTGTAAGAGCATTATGTCTAAGAAAACCACAGTGTTCACACCTTAATGAAAAAATACTTTACTGCTGAAAAGGCCCAGCTATTGCCGGAGACTTCAGCAAGTGGGACCCTCTGGCCGGGGGAGGGGCTGCCTCCACGCGGGTGGGCGTGCAGCGCCGCCAAGTGCCACACGCTGACACCTGCCTGTAGAGGAATCTCGTTCAGCAACAAGAAGGGGTGCAGGACTGAGCCTAACACGGCATGATGAGCCCCCCAAAACATGATACCACGTGACAGAAGCCAGCCTCAGAAGGCCCCACGGTCTGTGACTCCATTTCTCGGACACCGCGAGGGAGGGAAACCTAGAGCAGGGACGCAGGCCCGAGGTTGCTGGGGCTGGGGGCGGAGGGTGAAGTGACCGCTGGGTACAGGGCTTCCTTCTGGGGCGATGAGAATGTTCTGGAACCAGATGGTGATAAAGGCTGCACCACACTGTCCACAGACTAAATGCCACCACTGGCAACTTTATGTTATGTGCATTTTACCACAATTTTTTAACAAAGAGTTGACTTGCCTTGCTTTGTGACAGCATCTCGCTGCTTTGCAAGATGGCACCATTGTAGGAACTGGGTAAAGGGTGCACAGGACTTTATTTCTTACAACTAAATTGGCAATTATCTCAATAAAAATTTCAATTAAATAAACTTGCAGCCTAAAATGTTGGCTTATTCATATTCAAAACTTCATAAAAATAAAAAAATGAAGGATGCAACTTATAACATGAGGTAAATAAGGAATTTAAGATTTAAAAATAATTTGGGAATGGTAAAAAATTATGTATAGTCTGGGTGTGCTTCCAAAGACTGCGTGTGCACGTGAGTGTGCGTGTGCAAGAGTGTGTGTGACAGCGTGTGCACCAGCTGCTGCTTATTAAGTGCCCTTTGCAGACGAGCTGCACGGCGGGGGCGGGGCGGGGAGCCACCCCCCAAGGAAGCCCCAGATTTAATTACAGCCATCGACATGCTTTGCTGTTCACAAATCAAAGGCGTGCTCTCAGCTGTGAAGTCCCTTAAACAGGACCTCGTCGGGGACAAAACCCAAGCTGCCATCTCATGTTCTCAAAAGACAAAGGCTCATCACTGACTGTGAGGAGCGAGTGGGACCGCGTTTCTCTTGTCCTGGGATACGCCGTCACTCCTTCCCATTCAAGAGCCTCTCCAGCCAGCGTTTTACACACCAAGACCCTGACGAGACAAAGTCAAGTTGAGGAGAATTTTCACATGGCGACGGGCTACTTCTGAACTGCTAGTCCAGACCCCGCTGCCGCGTACGCTGGCCGCCTGCTGCTTTGGGTGCGGAGACGGTCCTCGGATGAAGGGGTCCGTCCCAGTTGTCACGTGCGGTGGAAACACGGCTTAGCTTAGACAACATGAGCTCAAAAAGCGACACATTTGGGGTCCCCTGGACAAGACAGGCTTGTTTCTGACTCGAAGTTTATCGTTGAGGGTATTCCCCCAAGAATTCCGGCCCTAGCCCCGCACTGCTGGGAGCAGCGAGAGGGAAAGTGGCTGTGGAGGGTTCTGGCCGCCGGCGGCCGGTGGAGGCTGCGGACAGGGAAGAGTATAACCCAGCCGCGGCCACCCGCGCCCAGGGTTCCCATGCCCAGAGTTCTCACGTGGGCTGTTCTGATCGGATCTGACGAGACAGCAGCCTCCATGAGAACAAGACCATGCCTCGCGTGGCCTTTCCACATGGGAAGGCACGGAAGCTGGACTGAGCCCCTTGCTGTGGGCTGCTGAGACTGGTTCAGGGGCCCCTCCTAAGTGGTGTCCCCACACCGCGCCATCCTTCCTGGGCTGCAGAATAACACGCGCCAGGCATGTGACTTGGGCCACAGTGCCCCCTGCCTGCAGGGTTGCTCTGTGGCGCTCTACCCTCCGCAGCGGTGCAGCCCCTTCCTGGCCTCCCGGCCGGCCAGGTCCCGCAGCACTGCGCGTGCGCTCTAAGCCCCCGCAGCGCTCCTCCCGCCGCTGGACTCCCCGTGAGTCCACCGTCCGGGTCCTCCTGCTCGGCAAGCCCAGCCCACAGGCCGCCGCCTCCATCCGCCTTCTGTAGGACCACGGATCCCATCTGCCGGGCCCCCAGCGTGCTCACAGCAGATCCTGTCGCACAGGCAGACTCTTAGCGGCCCGCTGGGCCCCCGACACTGGCCCCAGACGCTGAGCGTGGTGGATTTCAGAGCCCTGCCCACAAAACACTCAGGAAACCGGCACAGGGGACAGCAAGGCCCAGGTGACCCGGAACAGTAACTGAGAGACAGAGGACAGTTCAACCAAGTGCAGACTCCAGAGAAAACAATGTTTCGTTCCAGCAGAACCTTTGGCTTCTCTGTTTCAAGGGCTCACCAGAACCACATTGGGCTGAAAGGGCCCCACGAGAGCAGCTAAGCTCTCCTCCCTCACGTGCTCTGCGCCGCAGAGGCGGCCACAGCGGGCGCTGCAGGGCGAGGGGCCCTGCGGAGCTCAGCCTGGAGAGGGGCTGACGGGGTGTCTGGGGGCTCAGACCTGAGCTCTCCAAACTTCCACCCGTATCCTAAGGACCAGGCACACACGCAACCGTGCCCCCTGCGCCCCCGGCTAAAGAAAACGAAACAAAATGAAAATGTCACAGCCAAACAGCATGTGTATTAGACAGATTATTTTGGTAGGGACCTTGTGTGAACTTGGATAAAATTCAGCCAGGAGCATTTCGGGAACACAAGGTGGATGAATCGAGATTCTGCAAATCAAGAGCACGAATCACACTGGAAGGACCT